TACGGTGCCTCCAACTTGCGACTCGAGACCATCAACGGGTCAATCTTGGTCGGCATGGGAATGCTGATACGTCGAGGGACCCAGTTGGCCTCGCATCCCACACTGGATTTCGCACTAGATCTCCAGGGACTGGTGGCGATGCAGGATATCCCCACGCCCCCTGAATTCCAGCAGCAGCAGCAACAACAACAACCACCACCGTACACGGACGACTTTGCCGGCATGAACCGCAACATGAACGATCTGCACCGGCAGTTCGACCAAATGACGGTGCGGCAAGAAGCCTACCATACCCGGCAAGAGGAGATGTACCAGCATCAGCAAGTGATGCGGCAGGAATGGACAACATTCCAGCAAGAGTACCGCGACGAAGTCCGAGAATAAGCAGACTTCCGGTATCACGTCTACCAGCAATTTGCCCACGGATCATGTCCAGAGGATAGCCCTTAGGGATAGTACTTGCCTAAATAAAAGTGGTTGTAATAAAATTTCCCCATAAATAAAAATTTTTATTTCATGCATCTCTTTGCCACCCTTTGCAAAAGCTAGCGTAAAACGAAAAAGCTTAAAAAGGAAAAAAGCATACGCTAAAAAAGAAAAGCCAAAATCCTAAATCGCGAAAAAAAAAGAGATAAAACCGCGAGGAAAAAAGGCAGGATTAAGACAAGCCATCACCTCAACCAACAAAATTTTGAACTACCAAATCAGAGTCGAACAGAAAACAAGACTCATCCGACCAGCCAGCAAGAGTCGGATAGTCGCCACCAAAAGTCAAAAACAAAGAATCCCCAGCAAACAAGCAAGCTGGATGAGCACCAACAAAATCCCCGGTACAACCCGGATGACCATTCAGAGAGGTCCAAGAACATCTACCAACACGGAAATCACTCCCCAAGAAGCAGGCGCATGAGCTACCCGAGCAGTAAGCCGCCACCACCACCAGTCCTACGCAACGGACTGTACCAGCTGGATAGGGGGTTTATACCTATCAACCAGCACACAAGGAGTGCCTGAAAGGCGCATGGGCCACCTGAACAGTAAGCCGCCACTACCACCAGTCCTACGCAGCGGACTGTACCAGCCTGATAGGGGGTTTATACCTATCAACCTGCGCACGCGTTGTGCCTGATCGTCTGAGCCTGTTTTGCTTATTTGGCCTCAAGGTGTGCAGACTTGGCGGTTATCTCTTGAATTTGACTATCCGAGCTGGTTCTGGCAGTTTTGGATGCTCGGATAGCTTGCTCGTTTGAGTCAGCACACTGATCCTTGAGGCGCTCTATTTCATGATCCTTTTTCTTGCATTGCCTTTGCAGACCATCAATGGTGAGGATAGATTCTTGCTCTCTTTCTTCAAGGGCCCTCATCTAGGCTCCCATGATTTCTATCCTCTCGGTCAAGGCATCGACTTGAGCCTGCAGCTCTTCACTATTGGCGCTTGTAATGAGTGTGGTGGATGGTTGAGACATCCCTCTTTTTTGTCTCCACACCTCATAGTCACTGGAGACAGTCACTCGAGCTTTTCCTAGCTCTCTATCTCCCATATAGACTGGTCTCTCCCATGCTCTTCTCACAGCTAGTGAGTTGGCGATTGTGCATGGGTCTCCGAAGAAACACAGTCCTCCGAGTTCCCCCCGAGAAATGGTAGTTTGAGTCCTCATGAGCTGTCTCATAGCTACTCTAGGTGAGTAGGCTATGCAACCCCTGAGTCCTATCAAGGGTACGTTCGGATAGTCTCCACATCTGATGAGAACTGGGCCAGGTCAGAACCAAGGGCAGACCCAGGATAAACTGTTGGCGTCCTTTTGTTCCAACTCGTCCCTCCATTCTGAAGTTAAGCGTCGTTGGAGAGGGATTTTGGAGAAGCTCCTTAAAGCATCGGGGAATATCCCCATATGACTGGAGGCGTAAAGGTGTGTAGCGCTCCACACGAATAGCAGTGAAGGGCAACAGCGAAGCGTTTTTCCTTGCTTCTGGTGGCAAAATTCCACCGAGAGCAAGGTGTCCGCAAGAATGGCAGGCAAGGGACTCTTCGAGTTCACGTCCCAAGCGAAGAAGGCGTCCATGATGGCTTGATCCACTGTGTCAAGGTGGAAGGGAAACAAGATCATTCCAAAAATGATTAAAGCCAGGGTTTTGTTGAAGGCGACCCACTCTGTCCTTTCAGCCAAGTTGGACAGGTGGTCTTCTAACATCGAGACTTTCCAACCCTGGATGTTCCCTTGTCCGATCAGGGTAGTCTGCCGGAAAGGTAGTTGAATGATGGCAGCGACTTGTGCTGCAGGAGTATATGCCCCGTGGCGGATATGGACCCCAGCTGATTTGGGCCATTTCAACATAATCTCATACTCCTCCAAGGTAGGCACCATATTGAACTGCGGGAATTCAAAGCATCATAGACTGGAGTTCCAGAAGTGAATTAATACCCTGAGGAACACTTGATCGACACAGATCTTTAGCAGGTTGAGAATCCGTCCATAGGATTTTTCAAAATCGGCGCGGACCTCTGGTGACATTACCGCGCAAAGCCGTTCTAACTTCTCAGTATGATATCGGGGAATATCCACCTTCTTCAATTGTCTACTAGTCCCCTCCATTTTTTAAAACCAAAAATGCATGTTTTATGAAAATGATGCTTATTTGAATGAATGTGAGTGTTTATTTTTGTTTATCATGTTTTGTATGGTATTTACGTACTTTTTCCTGAAAAATAAACTACCTATATGAATGATTTGGGATGTTTATGAATCAGGTCCCATTTATTTGAAAATGATTTTTTGTTTGATTTGTTTTTTATTTGTTGTTTATTTATTTTTATAGCCTTTTATCTCTTCTGTCGGAACTGCGTGGCTACTTAGCTTACAAAGAACCTGAAACCAGGCTAGCTAAAAGGCAGACTGTCCGAGATAAAATGTGGCTTTATGCGAACAATTATTTAGTGTCCCTTATCTCTTCTATCGGAACTGCGTGGCTACTTAGCTTGCAAAGAACCTGAAACCAGGCTAGCTAAAAGGCAGATTGTCCGAGATAAGGGTGTTTATTGTAAAAATATTTTTTTGTGATTTTTCTTCTGTTGTTTGGTTATGCTATGCAACATACAAATGCAACAAACATATGCACACACAATTCGATCATCCACGAACAGGCGAGAATTCGTTTTTAATCACGAGGTAGGGTTTTCCTGCAGAAAAATGATTTGGCGAAGGTAGGTTCTAACTGTTCTGACCAAGGCTAAGGCCCCCAAGGTGCCCCCATTATAGGGTCCCCACTCTCCAGTCTTCCGACCATGCTTAGCACTAAGGCCATAGTCAGTCTTTGTGCCAAAAAAGGAAGGTTATCACCATGAGTGGTGGTTTCCGATCACACCGGTGGGCACAAGGCCATCACTACAGCGAACCGTACCTGCCACCCACTCCCTATGGATTTCTCACTTGCCCCCAGGTATAGAGGGAGCTATTGTGTGCAAGGGTTTGTGTACAGTTTGTATTTCAAACAATTGCGTAAGTATAAACAAGCAACAGTTATTAAAGCCAAACAATAAATCATGTTATAATACAAGGTAGGACAAAAGCGTTATTTTCTTGGTTTATTTATTTTTAAGCCGGCCCATCACCAAATGGGATCAACTCTCTAGGCTTCCCCAGTAGAGTCGCCATCTGTCGCTGCCGTCAAAACGAGGGCGGTCGGAGCGACGCGATGGTTTTCGACTTCCTTTGATTTTCGCGTTTTTTATTGGTGGTTACAACGCCTTTAGGTTGTCCGATAACCGGGCTGAACCTGAGGGCGAGGTTTTCGAAAAGGTGCTCTTGGATTGTCCGATAACCGGGCTAATCCAAGACCTAGTTTTTGAGGGTTCTCTGGAGTCGCCACCGATGTTTTTACCGGAAACATTGGAAAAGGAGTTTAAAAGGCGTTGGTTTTCGAAAAACCAACTTTGGTCGTTAGAACCAGAGTTGGGTAAGGGAGTTGGTTACGCATAAGGGAAGTGTTAGTTCCTTTACGACACCCCTTTCGGGTTCCCTATGATAGGCCAGCTATTCTGTTAATAAATAAACCGGAAAAATACGCTTTTGCCCTTTTATTTTGCGGAATTTAAAGATTACGACTACATGGCCCTAATGTCTATTGCGTAATTTAAACAATGCGGTAAAAGATAGAGAGAGAAAGTAGGAACCTCTGAAGCTAGCTTTCTATTAATTCTTTTAAAATAGGGTGCTTTGCGGCAGCCCTTCACTTTACACGGCGTCAGAAACCTCTCAAAACGCTCTAAAAAACACTCTAAAGACACTCAAAAGCTTCGGAAATGCGTCGAAGGGATTCAAGAGAGAGAAACTATTGATGTGACTAGAGAGAGAGTGAGAAAGTTGTGTGAAATGAGGGGAAGGGAGGCCATATTTATAGGGCCTCTCGCCTTGCAGGAATGGGGAGACGGCGGTCTCGCCTTTCGCAGGTGGCGAGACGGCCGTCTCGCCAAACGAGACGGTCGTCTCGCCACTTGTGCAAGGTGAGACGACGGTCTCGAATCCGAGACGGCGGTCTCGAATCCGAGACGGCGGTCTCGACCCCAAAAGGCGAAAATCCTTATTTTTGTGCCAAAAATCCCTCCTATCCTAGTATGGGGCCTAATAGTCTCTCCTAGTGGCTTCTTAGGCTTCGT